ATTTAAAAAATTTAATAATATTCGTTGCAAGAATTCAATTATTCTCATAAGTTATAAAATTCTTCGAAAGAATTCAATTATTCTTGAAAATTTTAATAAAATTCTTCGAAAGAATTCAATTATTTTAAAAAATTTGTATAGTCCTTTATAAATATTCAATATGAAGAAATTTTCAATAAATTATTTATTTTTGTATTTAAATAATTGAATTTCCGTAGAACTTTCTAATAACAATTGATTTAAAATTGATTTTCACTTAAAATGGTACATAATAATTGAATTTTAGAAGCGTAATAGTGTTAATTTTTAAAAATAATCAAATTTCCAAGGATTTTTAAATTGAAAATCTTTGAAAATTTTAATTGTTGTAAGACATTTTTATTTAGAAAGAAATTGATTAAAATTTTAAATAATTTTATTTAAAAATTTTAACACCAAAATGATTTAATTTTTGAAAGAATTACAGTTGTAAGTTTTAGAGATAGTTAAATTTTTCCATTCTCACTTTTATTTTGATTGATATTTACTTTTATTTTCATTTTTGATAAAATATTATTTTTACTTTCGCTTTTATAGATTATTTTCCTTTTTATTTTCATTGTCACTTATATAGATTTTTATTTTCACTTTTACTTTGACAGAAGGTGAAAATAAAAGTGAAAGTAAAAAAAAGAATTCGTAATCGACCCATTTCACTTTCATTTTCACTATAACTCTAACTAATTTCTCTTATGACTTTCACTTACACTCTCTAAATTTGAATTAATAAAAATGTTTACTAAAAAATTATCGACTGAGATTTTTTTTTGGAATTGGTATATTTTACTAATAAATATTAATTTCAACTAATTTATTAGTAAAATTAACTAATTCAATAGCAAAAAATCAGTCACTAATACAAATTAGTTAGAGTTTTTACTAACTCAAAATTTTGTAAGTGAAAAAAGAAGAAGAACAAAAAGAAAGAAGAAAAAGAATCAAAAAGAGTACAATAGAAACTGAAACGAAACAAAATCTATTACCCGCCCTCAAAACCGAATCGGTGAAATTTTCCTGACGAGATTTTTACGTATAAACGTTTGGAATTGTTGTAAAACGTATATATACCGAAGATAGAGGGTGGAAACCTTTAATTCTTAGCACGAAAGGAGAAAGAGATTCCAGCAATCGGATCACGTATGCACAAGGGTCACGTGTGAAAAACGTGCGACACTTTATCCCGAACGACTGTCTTCCTCTTTTTTTACCCCGTGAATGTACATATGCCGGGGCAAAAGAGGTATATACAGGAGAACTCCAATACCCGATAAGAGCTTGCGGTTCAAAAAAAGAGAGAGAGAGAGAGAGAGAGAAAGAAAATGTATGTATATACACCTATGTATGAAAGAAAAGAGTTTGTGAATCGTTCTCGAAGTTAAAGAGAGAGAGAGAGAGAGAGAGAGGGAGGAAAAAATTGTTACTAGTATGCAGCGCAGATGTTTCTACCCTAAATTCTATTTCACCTCTTATGCTTGCTTTCTAATCTTTGCAGTCAGTATACAATTTATCAAGATATTTTTTTTTCTTTCATCTTTACTAAATTCTTTTCTGCTTTCCGACAAACATACTCCTTCGAATTCTAAATACTTTTCTAATTTTTATCTCCGTTTCTCAAGATTCTAATTATTAAAATTAGTAATTAATAAATCTAAAACTTACAATTGTAATTCTTTTAAAATTCAATCATTTTTTGTTGAAATTCTTAAATATAAAATTATTAAAAATTTTAATCATTTTCTTTTTTTTTAAATAAAAATGTTTTACAACAATTAACATTTCCAAAGATTTCAATTTTAAAATCCTTGGGAATTTAAATATTTTTAAAAATTAACTATATTACTATTTATTATAGTAAAAACCAATTCAAAAACAAAAAGTCAGTCGCTGATTTAAATTAGTGAACATTTTTAATAATTCAAATTTAGAGAGTGTGAATGAAAGTCAAAGAGAAATTAGTTAGAGTTACAGTGAAAATGAAAATTTTTTTTTTACTTTCACTTTCATTTTCACCTTCTGCCAAACTAAAAGAGATAATAAAAATCTATATAATTGAAAATAAAAATAAAAAGGAAAAAAATCTATAAAAGCGACAGTAACAATAAAATGTTATCAAAATAAAAATAAAAGTAAAAATTTAATCAAAATGAAATTGAAAATGAAAGTGAGAATAGAAAAATTTAACTACCTCTAAAACTTACAACAACTGTAATTCTTTCAAAATTCAATCATTTTTTTGTTGAAATTTTTAAATAAAATTAATAAAAATTTTAATCATTTTTCTTTCTTTTTAAATAAAAATGTTTTACAACAATTAAAATTTTCAAAGATTTCAATTTTAAAATCCTTGGGAATTTAAATATTTATTAAAAATTAACATTATAACGCTTCTAATGTTCAATTATTATCTAAAATTTTCACTGGAATTCAATTTTAAATCAATTGTTATTAGAAAGTTCTACGAGAATTCAATTATTTAAATACAAAAATAAATAATTTATTGAAAATTTCTTCATATTGAATATTTATAAAGGACTATACAAATTTTTTAAAATAATTAAATTCTTTCGAAGAATTTTATAACTTATGAGAATAATTGAATTCTTGCAAGGAATATTATTCAATTTTTTTTTTTAAATACAATTGAATTCTTTATTGAGAAATTTTATTAAAATATTTTAGATATTGAAAATAATTGAATTGTTATGACGAAATTTTTATTATAATTTTTAAAATAATTAAATTCTTTCAAGATATTTAATTAAAAATGTATTAAAAATAATTATTAAATTCTATTAAGCAAATTATATCAAAATTTATCTAAATAATTGAATTCCTGTGAAAATTTGATTATCTATGAATATAATTGAATTTTGAATGTTTAAAAAATACTCTTAAAAATAGCAATTATCTTTATAAATAATAAAATTCTTCTTCGAAAATCAATTATTTTCAAAAATTTTAATAAAATTCTTCGCAAAATGTAAATTATTTTCATACCTTTTCCACAATTAAAAAATTTTCAATATGTATTATTTTAATAAAATTTTGCAAAAGAATTCAATTATTTTAAAAAATTGATAAAATTTTAGGCGCAAATATTCAATTCATTTATATATTCAATTATCTTAAGAAAAATCAATTATATACAAATTTTTTATAAAATTCTTTGCACTAATTCAATTATTTTCATAAATAATGAAAATTTTTACAGTGATTCAATTACTTTCATAAGTAACAATATGCATTACATGAAAAAAAATTCAATTATTTTCAAAAGCAATAAAATACTTTACAGAAATTCAATTATTTTCTAACTTTTTAAAAAAATTCTCGCCAAGACTTCCATTATTTTTAAAATAGCAAAATTCTTCTTCAAAATTGAAGTATTTCTAAAAAATTTTTTTAATTCTTGTCAAAATTTCAATTACTTTCGAAAATCTTTCACAATTTAATGATTTTCAATGTCTACTATTTTAATAAAAATGTATCAAAAGAATTCAGTTATGAAAAAAAATTTTTGATAAAATTCTGCGCAAACATTCAATTATTTTCACAAATAGTGAAATTTTTTAAAGCAATTTAATTATTTTCATAAATATAAAACTCAGCAGAATTTTGATTATTTTCAATACAATATCAATCAAATTTCTCGAAAAATATAATATTATTCTTAAAAATTTTAGTAAAATTCGTTGAAAGAATTCAATTAATTAAAAGTTTCAATTTTAAGAAACATTCAATTATTTAATAATCTATTTGTTTTTTTAATTTAAATAATTGAATTGTCGCATAATTTTCTAAGAAAAATTAATTTAAAAAAATTTGTAATTACAATTTTAGATTATAATTGAAAATTAAATGCTTTATAGCACGATTTTGTAGAAATAATTGAATTTTGAAAAGGTTTTAAATTAAAATCTTTGATAATTACAATTTTTCATATTTTTAACTAACAATTCTGTAGAATTAATTTTTTTGAAAAAGTTTAATTAAATTTTTTTTTAATTATGTATTTTTTGTGTTTATATGTATTTATCGATTTATTTATTATTTATTTATTTTTTATCTATTTATTGATATATTTATTGATATATTTATTGATCTATTTATTTATCTGTTTATTTATAAATTTATTTATCTATTTATTGATTTATTTATTTATCTGTTTATTTATAAATTTATTTATCTATTTATTGATCTATTTATTTATCTGTTTATTTATCTATTTTTTATCTATTAATTTATTTATCTATACTTATTTACTTAAATATTTATCTTAATTAAAAATATTCTAATTTAGAAACACATCTTAAGTAATATTCTCCAGTATAATAATCTTCTATGTAGCAATTACTGTATTCTGGAATTTCTTCACGTTTAAAATTCAATTATTCTTAAAACAGCTACCGGTAAACGTTTTGTTTCATTTGAAGAGAAAAATTATATAACTCTTAGTAAGGCATTAATTAATTAATATTCCGAGAAAAATTTTTCTACCGACAATTAATCAAATCATGATAGAAATATGGAAGTGCGCGCGATGGCAAACTTGCTGCAAGGTTGACATTCAAGGTCTCGGGAAAATGCATATATTTAAAATTATTCCTGAATCAAAAATATACTGAAATCCAACTATCGATTTAATGTATCTCCAAGGAAAAAATAGATTAAAATCAAAGCAAAAAAATAAAGAAAGAAAATTTGTTTAAAATAAAAACAATGAAATAAAAACAATAAAATAAAAAAATAAAATATAAAAATAAAATATAAAAATAAAATAAAAAAACAGAACTAAATAAAAGAATTTCTTCGTTTTTTTTTAGTAAAGGCGGAACTTTGTGTGATTTTTTTATTGGATTTTGTGATAAATTTGGATTTGTGGGATAAATGATTGAATGATTGAAATTATATTGTCACTTGATTATAAAAAAGTAGATTAGTGAAGTAAACTTTATACTCACTCATATTGTGATTATCTTTCTTTTGTCTATCTTTGGCTAGGGCGTGGATTTCTGCATCAGTGAGCAGCAAAGGTTCTGGTTTTATTTGAAGGTCTGGAAGACTTGTTAAGCTCCCTGCTTGACTGTCCTTTAAGCCATCGCCCAAGGATCCAGCCTCAAACGACAGAATATCATCCAAAAGATCCTCCGCCTGAGAAAAGCAAATCGAAAACAGGTGAGAAAATTAAATATATATAAAATATATAAAAATTATAAATAAAATATAAGTGTTCACTACACTTTGTATTTTTTTACAAGCGGTCCGATTTTAAATAAATACATTATTTTACATGAATAATAAAAGTATTTTTATGCATATTAAAAGTGTATTAAGTCAGGGGGTCGATTAGGTAATTTCGTTTTTACTCTGACTTTCAATATCAATTGGAAAATAATTTTTATTTGCACTTTCATTTTAATTTTCAATCTCATTTTTATTTTCACTTTCATTTTTATTTTCACTCTCATTTTTATTTACACTTTAATAGATTTTTATTTTTACTTTGGCAAATGTTCACATTCACTTTCTTCTTTACTTTCATTTTTAATTTGCTCGATTTTTATTTTTACTTTCACTTAGACAGAATTTCATTTTTATTTTGGTTTTCAGTTTAATTTTCATTTTCCCTTTTAAAAGATTGTTTTTAGTTTCATTTTCACTTTCATTTCGAAAAGATTTTTATTTTTATATTCTATCAAAGTGCAATTAAAAATAAAAATCTATCAAAGTGAATATGAAAATGGAAGTAAAAACGAAAGTGAAAATAAATGACTGTCAAAGTAAAAGTGCGAAAGTAAACAGAAAATTAAAAGTTAAAATCTGTCAAGGGGAAAATAAGAAAAATTAAATATTTATCAAAGTAAAAATGAAAATGAAAGTGAAAACGAAAGTAAAAATAAATTACTGACAATGTAAAAATGAAAGAAAAAACATTGCCGTGAAAGTAAAAACAAAAGTGGAAGTAAAAATACAGGGTTGCCACAAAGACTTAATTTTGTTTTCCCCTGACTTTTCCCTGATTAAAATTGATTTTTGTTCGAAAAAATTCATGTAAATTCTATTTCAAGAATTAAATTACTATGAAATTTTTATTATTTCAGAAAGTAATTGAAGGTTCGTGAAGAATTTTATCAAATTCTTTTTTAAACAATTCAATTCACTTGTGAAATTTTATTCAAATAGTAGATATTCAAAATCATTGAATTAAAAAAAAGTTTTTGAAAATAATTAAAATTTTACCATGAATTTTATTAACATTTTTAAAAATAATTGAATTTTGGCAAAGAATTTTATTATTACTGAATATAATTGAATTTTTATAATGAATATTGTTATTTATGGAAATAATAATTGAATTCTTCTGTAAAATTTTATTAAAAGAGTAGCTATTGAAAATAATTGAATTGAGGAAAGTTTTTGAAAATATAATTGAAAATTTTTCCAAGAATTTATTAATTTTTATTGAAATGTTGATGAGAATTTTTAAAAATTTGTTAACATAATTGAAGTTCTATGAAGAATTTTATTACTTTTGAAAATAATTGAATTAAATAAAAAGTTTTTGGAAATAGTTGAAATTATTTGCCATGAATTTTATTAAAATTTTTGAAAATAATTGAATTTTTATAATGAATATTGTAATTTATGAAAATAATTGAATTCATAAAAAGAATGTTATTATTAATTATAAAAATAATTGAATTCCTGTAAAAAATTTAATTATTTATGGAAATAATTGAATTGAGGAAAATTTTTGAAAATATAATTGAAAATTTTTCCAAGAATTTATTAATTTTCATTGAAATGTTGATGAGAATTTTTAAAAAATGTTTAACATACTTGTATTTCTATGAAGAATTCTATTACTGTTGAAAATAATTGAATTAAAAAAAAAGTTTTTGGAAATAGTTGAAATTTTGCCATAAATTTTATTAAAATTTTTGAAAATAATTGAATTTTTACAATAAATATTGTAATTTATGAAAATAATTGAATTCATAAAAAGAATGTTATTATTAATTATAAAAATAATTGAATCCCTGTAAAAAATTGTATTATTTATGAAAATAATTATTGAATTCTTTTGTAAAATTTTATTAAAAGAGTTGATATTGTAAATCATTAAATTGAGGAAAATTTTTGAAAATATAATTTAAAAGTTTTCCAAGAATTTATTAATTTTTATTGAAATATTGATGAGAATTTTTAATAATTTTTGAACATAATTTAATTTCTACGAAGAATTTTATTACTTTTGAAAATAATTGAATTTTTGCAACTATTTGTAACTACTTCAAAATTCAATTTTTTTATTTGGATTTTTAAAATTTTTTGTATTTTTAATAAAAATCCCTGACTCTTCCCTGACCAATTCAACTTTCCCTTTTTACCTGACTTCCCTGACCTATTATGGCAAATCACAATACAAATTATGTAAAAATCTGTCATAGGGAAAATTGGAGAAAATAAAAATCTATCAAGTTTAAGAAGGAGAATCTATGAAAGTGAAAGTGAAAATAAAAATCTGCCAAAGTAAAAATAAAAGTAAAGTTAAAATATAATTATAAACACGCTTTTTACTATTACAATAATAAAATTAATAAAATTAATTTATAAATTAATTTATTAATTAATCAATAAAATTATTACAATTCACCCTAAATTATAAAATACTTGAATTAAAATCACCAAACAATATTAAGAAACTAAATTTAAAATAATAAATATTAAATAACAAACTTAAAATAAATTTTTCCGAAAGAGCCGAAAATGGAAATCGGTCAGAGGAGGGGGGAGATGAAATTTGCGACAAGAAAGAGGAAACACGCAGAGCCTCTCTCTTGGACGACCAAATCTTTGGTTTCCGTTTAGGAGGTATTAAATTTGTCTGCTGGTCACGGCGACTTGATCCTCAGAGAAATCGATACTATCGATAGACGTGTCATCGAACAACCGGTATTATTGATGGCGGCGCTTTAACGCTAGTTAATGCGATTTATAGCTATTCGCCTGGGCGCCTTGCTCGCTCGTGTGTCCCGTATACGAACGTCTTCGGAGAATGAACGAAGCGCACGTCGTTAATAATTCCAGGATGTCGTCGCCATCACTAAATCACATCTTACCTTAGAAATCGTGAAGCGCCCCTGTTTTCAGGGGGCTTTCCGTAAATTGCGAATGACCCAACTATACATATATATATATACCTAACCCCAGCGACAAGACATTTTTCCCTCGACAAAAAAAAAAAAAAAATTCTCATCAAAAAAAGAATAGAAAAAAGTCTGTAAACACGAAAAGAAAATTTTTCTCCTTTTTTATTTCTGCCTTTAAAATTTTAAAGAAGTAGAAATCAATAAATTTTAGTTGGCTTAAATCAATTTTACTTGGAACAAATAAATTTTAGTTGATTTAAATAAATTTTACTTGGATCAAATAAATTTTATTCGGTCAAATTTCTATTCTCTTGCAAGCAAAAAAATAAGTTTTATTTAATTTAAATAAATTTTATCTGAATCAAATAAATTTTATTCTGGTCAAATTTATTTTCTCTTTCAAGCAAAAGAAAATGTGCAAACACAGTCTTACAACAATAAAAAAAACCAGAAACTAAAGAAAAAATTTTCCTACTAATCAAAACTAAGAAGAATAAAATAAAAATTCATAAGGAAAATTCTTGGCAAAAATTTTTTCAAGAAGAAAATAAGAAGTAAAAAAATAAGTAAACAATTAATTTCTCTCGTACTTTCAAGAATATATCCTCTTTTTTTGTCGAATATTTTCAAAATGACTTTGATAAATCTCTATGATGACACTTGATAAATGAAAGTGAATCGATAAAACATTCTTTACATTGCAATTCTTTTTTTAATGATTCTAAAATTCCAAGTCTGAAATCGTAAAAAAAAATTTCTTTGTAAACAATTATAACACGAGAGAAGAATTTGATATCTCGAAGGGGGGAAAAAGAAGGAAATATTAGGTATATATATTGACCGTTTGAGTTATCATACTCATTAAACTTTTCCACGTACATTCCAATCATATATCAAGTTATTTTCTATATAGCTTTATTCAGAAGAACTCTTATATAAAAATGAAAATAATTGAATTACAAAATTATGAGACATTTCAAAGTACAGAAAAAAAGGAATGAAAAAAAATATATGTATATATATATTTCTTTATTATATATATAATAAATAAAAAAAATATATATACATATATAAACACTATATATATTTATTTATCCATATTTATTTATTTATGTATTCAATTTCGAATTCTTGACTTTTCATAAATCTTAACTTGCAAACAACTAAAAATGATTCTTAACATTTGTCGAGAAGTGTGTCAGTAGGTAAACACAATGTACTTGAACAATAAATAAACTCTCCAGTTGTCAGACTGCTTGCGTATAATTAATGTAACTTGTTAATTTAAATTTTAACTTCAACTTTATTGCAAGTTTCTTTTACTCGTACGCGACAGAAATATTGCAACACAATTTTCTATTTAACATTCTCATTCCCCCTGAGATAATTAATTTAATTAAATAAATTATTTAAATTCAGTACATTAATGAAATTATTATTTAAATAATAATTATATTCATTAAATTAATAAAAAATTAACATAAACAAAAAAATTTTTATTTGCTTCAATTATTTTTCCATACAGGAATTGAGATTTTTTAAAATTTTAAATTCAAACATTTTTTAAATTAAGCAATTTATAAAAAATTGTTATAAAACATATAATAATTAAAGATGACCGAGTAATAAAATCATTATTATAAGAAAAATCTTACTGTACGTAACTTCTTCAAAATTATTTCCATCATTTTAATTCAATTATTATTTTCTACAATTTTTTAATTATTTTTTATGAAAATAATTCAAATAAAAATAATTCAAATTTGTAAATTAATGAATTCCTGTGAAATTTTTATTATTTATGAAAATAATTAAATGTTTGCGTACAATTTTATTAAAATTTTGTTTAAATAATAAAAAAAAAAAAATTAAAAAATAATAGAAAAAATAAATTTTTCCATAAATAATAATCAAACCGATTCATTTAAGTATTTCTTTGCATTAAAAAATTACTTTTTATTTTATTTTTATTTTTACACTTTTTTAAACTTTGCAAAT